ATTTTGTTTAGCAAATTTATTTAAGCGAAATTGGAACTCAAATATATTCTTATTATTATAATTTTTTTTTTTTTTTTTTTTTTTTTTTTTTAAGTAAATATTTACTCGAAAATTTTTTATATATTTATATAAAACATGTTAATATTAATTATTATCTATAAGATATATTTATATCTGCATTATATTATTTTTATATATAATTAAAATACTATCATAATTTTAGTTTTCAGTTTCACTTTCTCGCCATAAATCAAAATTGGTTTTATAGCACGTAAAACAGCAAAAAGCTTAGTTAAATATTAACTAAGCTTTTTGCTGTTTTTATTTAGCTAACTAACCTTTGCTTGCAGCCATTCACAATTTTTAACGCAAAAAGTTGTTAATTATCTCATTATTAACTAATTAAACTTTGAATTTCACTTCACCTAACTCTAGACACGTTCCAAATGTTTGTTGGCTAAAAAGTTATTTAACTATATTAAGACTTTTATATAAACTAACTTTAGCGTAGTGCTTAAAACGTGTTCACATTCAATATTTTATAAATAATATCAAATATTTTAATTTTTTTTTTTTTTCAGTGTATCACTTAAAAAATGTATAGTTAAAAAGAGTTATAGACTTAAAGATCGGTCAAATAATTGAAATCAATGTTTTGTTAATTATTTTTATTTGGGAATTACGCATATTCGAATATCATAAGAAACTAGATATGAACTTTACTCGCCTTGGCTTGTTTTTTATAGACTTTCCAACTAGTTTGAGCTTAGCCGGAATTCCACGACATTGATGAATCAATAATTCATAGCAAGCTCTGCTATTGGCTTAAATATTTATGAGTGAGCTAGACGGCTCACTATTTGAATGCGCGAAGGCATAGTTTTACGATCGATTAGTCATAGTCATAGTCAAATATATAAATATATAGCTGACATTCTATGAAAATGCCTATTTTACATTCAAATATCAAATATCAGCTAGAGTGAGCACTCTTAATTACTCTTAATTATAATCTAATTACCATTTTATATAGAAACTCTATTTATAGCACATATTAATAATAATATTTATAACCCACATTTCAAGTGATCCAACTGTTAATTCTAATCTAATTTTATATATTTTCTGTATATATATATTTTTTATCAACATCAAATATTCAGTTCGTGCTTGAGACGATTATGCGCCGCGTTCGATCAGATTAACACTTCTACATAATATGCCATAAAAAGAGCGCCATAATTGTTTTATAGCACGCCATTTAACACATTGCTGCTGCTGTTGTTGTTGTTGTTGTTGTTGTTAGCAAATAGACAATTTACCGATAACTTTCGGTTCCTTTTTTCACTTGTTTGTTAAATTAATTGTTAACAAAAAACAGAAGCAACAACAACAACAACAGCAGCAGCAACTGTCGACAACAAAGCGCCAACATTTTTCTGCTGACGCGTTGCCATGAAATAAAAAAGTAAAACAAAAATATAAATAAATAAACAAATATCTCGATATGCATATTATGGCCGATATTTGTAAAAAATTTGCGCTGACTAAGCGCGCATTTAGCGGTAATTTAGCGTATTTCGCGCGAATTTTTGAAAACGAGCTAAATGCAAATCAGATATATAAACAAATTATATATATATACCTACATATATTTCTAAAGAGAGAGAAAAAACCCCAGTTGAACCTACTTTAAAATTTAGCTGTAAATGTTATTGAATTGCAAATCACTTTCAAAATTTGCTCATGACACTTGAGTTTGAGCAGGAGGCTAAACGGAGTAGGCATTCGACAATCTGTTATTTAAAGACCGGCTCGAAATGACAACAATTTCCACACACATTAAAGGCAGACAGAGACAGAAAGACAGAGAGACAAAGAGCCAGACAGCCAGCCACATATGTATGCAAATGCAATTGACAATTGTCTATTGTCTACTGCCTGCTGTTAGTAGCATGTGCGGGCGTGGCTTTACGCTAACAGCAGTTCCCAGAGACAATAGACGAAACGATAAAAAAAAAACAACAACAACAACAACAACAAAAACAAACGAAAATCGAATATTATTGTAAACGTTTATGGTAATTGGACAATTTCCGGAATGTACGTTACAAAAACAAAAAAAAAGTCAGTTGAAAGTCAAGAATATAGAAAATAGAAAACGTCAGAGAGTTGTAAAAGTTTAGCTAGAACTAACATTTGAGCTAAGCTTGATTGATTATAAAACGAGTTAAAAATGTAGAAATTAAATATTATTGATTTTTAAACTAAAGGTATTATAGGATCAACAGAATGGGAATTTGGAGCACAATTTTGTTGTAAAAATGTATGAGAAGATGTGGCAGAGCTGCAAAAGTATTTGTATATATGCTTGATCTGTAGAACGAGCTGAGGCTAGAGCATCCACTGTCCGTCCGTCTGTCGTGCAATCCAACCATCCGTCTATTTGTCTATGAGTCAATCGTCCATTTGAACTCTAGCAGAAATCTAGTCCTGAAAATGTATTTGTATGATTCTTGTATAGCAAATATAGCAAATGCCAGCCCGTAATATCTGCTCATCATTGTTATCCTCGTCTTCACTATATTTAATTTTCCGCACGTAGGCTCAGTCCCAAAAATTCTAAAGGTATCTGCTAGTTCGGTACTCTTGACTAGCTCACCCAGACTTGTTTTATTTCTAATGCTTAATATATTGCCTCGATCTCTATATGACTCTCAGGAGTCCACATATCAATTTCAGCTCCCCGCGATCTACAGCGTACGATAGGCGGGAAAACCACACAGAAAACTCAATCCAAATCAATAACTCTATAAAGGCCAAAAGATCCCTCTCCTGCACAATTTCTTAATAAAAGACTCGCTGGGCCACTACGTGCTTCCCATTGGCAATATCTGAATCAGATGAGGCGTATATCCTTAAGCTAGACAACACGTTTCGCTAAGCCACGCTTAAACAGTTCGCCTACCTGGACGGCAGCCTCAGAGCGGGGGAGGGCGCTAAACCGTAACAAACCGCACTTGACAGTAGCTCAGCGCATTCTACAGGTAAAACTCACGTAGCAGCGACGACTCCGAGGCGAGGGTAGCTCGCCTGCTGTGGGCCCATTGTTCGGGTGCATTTCCTGATTTTTAATTAGCCAAATAATGCTAGCAGGAGCGAGCAGGAGACCTATTCAGCTAAACGCTGCACAACGTGAGCTGCATTTTGTAATCCTCAAATGTCTCGCAGTTTTCACATTTTCCTCAACAGTTTTTCAAGTGAAAAATCTCAGACAGGAAATTGATTCAATGTCAATTAACAATTGATGTTCAATCGGTGGACGAACTTTAGCAACTGAAGAGAAAATCAAGTAACAGCAACCACAACAACAACAACAACAACGACAACAATAACAACAGCAGCAGCAACAAGTTGCAGCAATTAAGTTGTCAAGTTTTTAGTGAAAATTTCATAATCAAGCCAGGTAAAGTGAACTTTCAAGGTAATCAAGCAGACATATGTAATATATATACCATATATATATCATTATTAACTGCATATTTGTCATTATGAGCAATGAACAAATTAGTTGCTTAAAAGCTTAGCCAAACCGTTATTCAGCCTAGACGCACTTCAATTCGGTTCATTAAGTCAAATATTCTGCTGCTGTCTGTATACCACTTAATGGCCTATACAAATGGGGTATATGGGCTAGCATTTCAAATGCAGCTCATATATCTGTTTTTATCTAGGGTATCAGCTAGTCTCATCTATCTCGCTCTCGCCTCGACTCGCTGCCATTAAGAAGTTTGGCCAAGAAATCAGATTTGTCGTTAATTAGGCATTTGCCTAAGTGGATGAGCTCTGAATATTTTATTGTTTCTTGCTTTTTCTTTTTTGAATGAATAATGAACAAGTCTATGGGAAATTTGTTGAAAAGCAAAAGTTTGGCAAATGATTTAGATGAGCTCGATAAGAACAACTTTGACATTTGTTTCAGCTAATGAGCGAATGCAAATGGAATATTACGCGTGTGAAAATTACATATTTGTTATGTTAAATATATAAATCCATAAAGTTAGTGTCAGTATATATGTATTTATTTGAGAGGAAATCCGTTACGAGCTACGCATTTTGAGTTTGTCGCGATGCGATTGAATCATTCGATATAAAAGATTTGATGTAAACTATTTTGTCATTATCGGAAGCACTGCGGGAAATCAAGTTTTATGTCTTTCATAAATATTCGAGTCGTAGCTAATTAGCGAAGGGATTCATTTTGGTAAAAAAAAAATAAAATAAAAACAAAACAAAAAGAAAAACGAAAAAACAACAACAAAATCATAGTTAAATTTACATATCAAAAATATTTCAGCATTTTTCTTTGCTTTTGTAAATTGTTGGGAAGGCCTTTGCCGAGTGCTTTGTGTGTGGCCCTGAAGGGCCATTAATATGTATTACTGGAGTATCGTAATGAACATATCATTCCCATCCACTGACAGCGACAATGACAAACAGTTAGCGAACATTTATAACAGCGCGCGAAATTGTTGCATTCTAATGATAACCTCAGATATCCGAGGATGATGCAGGGAAACGGAAATGAGTTGCTCGAAGAATACCGTTTGGCAGGTTCAGTCAACTCTTGAAAGCTGAAAGCCAGCTAGAAAATTCCATCTCAAATCAATTAGAAATTTCAGCTCGAATTTGATTAGTGAAAATTCTAAACTTTCGCCAAACGAAACGAAAAGAAAAACCAGATCAAACATTAAAAAAAAACAAGTTTGAAAAGATATATAAAAAAAAAAAAAAAAAAAAAATACAGATGCAAGACTTTCTAGCGGAAACCCAAAGTTTAAGTGAATTATCGCAATAAATCAATTGGGAGAAAAAAACAAAAACTGGGTTACTTCAAGCAGAAGAAGAAGAAGCAGAAGCAACAGCCGCAGCATCAACTAGAGTCCAAGATCACTCAAGAACATTTAACAGCTGGAATGCTCCAAATGCCAAAAACTTACCTTTCAAAAGTTCAATCAAGTTCAGATCTTTTTTGGGATAATCCAAAGTGTGTATAAATGTGTGTGTGTGTGTAATCCCAAAAACAATGTTGATGGATTGTAAATACACTAAAAAAAATGCACAAGGCCGTTTATTGTAGTTGTAGGGTCTTCTTTTTGGTTTTATGGTTTATCTGTTTTCTTTCTTTTGTAGTTATGTTTCTTCTTATGTTATGCACTTCACATTTTTATGCGTGGCCAAAGGCGCGTACGTGCCGCATTATGCTATATGTTATCGATTCCGATTGGGACAGGAAACAGGTGCAACAGCCCCTTGACGGCTTTTCGCAATCACTTCTTTTTATGTTGCTGTCAAATCAAACTTTGTCGAAAATGCACTTTCAGTTTTGTTTCGCACTAAAGAAGCTGATAAGATTTTCCACAGTTATTTGAAGCAATGAGAGCGCTAATCGTGATCAACACAAACGAACAACCGACCGTTTGAATAAACCGCACTCAACAACGTTGCGAGCACAACTGAATGGAGTAGCGCTGTTAGCGTCGAGGGCTAGCCATAAGCAAGTGAACGAACTGCTTGCTAGCGCTCACACACACTCGCATGCCGGCTCTCTCGCTCTCCCTCACAGAGCCGGAGATCGAGCGAAGTGCCTGTGCGCAACAATAATAACAGCAGCCGGCAAAGTGCTGGCAACATTTGATGCTTACCATAGTAAATGTAAAAAGAGCGAATGATAGAAATATTATAAAAACAAACTATAATTAATTAAGGTCTTATCAAACTTTGTAGTAAAATAATATTAAATAATAATATACAATAAAATAACAACAATGCGAAACACACTTGGAACGCTTAGCAACATTCTAACTGTCACGCAACATTGTGCTGCGTGGCTAGCAACATAGCATATACTCTCGCTCTCGCGCTCACGCTCTTTTCATTTACTTTTTCACTCACTCATTTTGTTAGCCAGCCAGCGCAGCGTGGGTGCAAAGCAGATGGTGCTGCTCGTTCTCTCAACGACGTAGGTGAGCGTGTGTGCATGTGTGGGTTGATTTTGAAGTTTTGCTGCTGAGCTGTGGGCGACACTGTCTGGGCGAACTAGTTCCACTTGCTGCGCTGCTCATTTCGAGTAGGCAGCGCGCAACAAAACGAGTTTCCAATTAGAAGTGAAGTTGCGTTTAGCATGTGGGTTTTGTTTTTCGTTTGGGATGAATAATTGCAAAGAGAGAATGAGTAAGAGCGGGAGAGAGCAGAAATGCATTGAAGTGCCGGATGGGCTTGGATAAACACTAGTGGTTTTGTTTGTGTGTGTCTGAAGTGGAAATGTATGCAGCAACATGCATTAGCAACATGTTGCTTGCAAGCGCATAAGAAAAACATAAAAGTTCTTAGAACTTTAGTTATTATGCGCACGTTTCCAGCCGTTTATGGGTTAAAGACTCTTATGGACTTGCCATGAAATATTATAGCCATAAAACAAACAGAAAATAATGACGAAGATAAAAAACGTTTTAGCTATGGTGCTACACACGAACAGCAAAATGAAAGTCAAATGCCAAATGTAATTTGCTGGCAACATGGTCATTATATTTTGCTATAATTTATTTGTTCAAGCCAACAACAAATGCGACAAATTAATTACATCAAAAACAAGAAAAAAAAGAGTTTATAATGAAAGTGAAAACCCACAAAGAAAGAAAATTTATGTAACAAAAAAAAATTTGTTTTGATTTGCCAATCGAAGTCAAGCTCATGTTCTCGCAAAATGTTGCCAGATATGTATTATTAATGATATATAATTAAAGGTTGCCGCTTTTCGCTTAACGTATATACGAAATTAGTATGTACTAAATTTCGTAACAATAGATCTTAAGTTTGAGGGCTGAGCTTGGGCAAGACACATGTTTATATACATTTTATATAAACATATGTATATATACATGTTTCTATACATGTGCTTATATAGCATAATAAACGGTATTCACATTTGATAATGGTCTGTTATGACAATATTTGATGACTTTGATAAATCGATGTGTTGACAGGAGGAAAAACTTTTTTCTTTTTGCGAATTATGCGGAAACAAATTTTGAATTTGTTTTCATTTTTTGCTGTTGTCTTTGAGTTAATTATGAAACGAATTTATGGCAAAGTATTTAAGTGCTTAAAAACTTTGCGATTTTGCCAATTAGAAAAGGTCAACAGATTAAGAAAATAATAAATAATATGAAGCAGTTTGACTTCAAATGAATACCAAATTGATAAACTATATATGTGAAGATGAAGCGTAGCTTAAGCTAGCCCAGAAGTAAAGTCTGTCTCGTCTGTTTCTTTTTTAGATAAGTTAATGGAAAACAGTTAAATATTTGTTAGAACTGGATCGTATCATAGCACGCTTTTCACATGAGTGTGTGAAAAGCACACACAAAAGAGAAAAAAGAAAGAAAAAGAATAAGAATATGAGAAAAGCAAAGTCTAGCTGGAGCACAGTTATGTATATGGAGTATATAATTATATATATGCATATGTATAAATATATGTATACATTTAGTGTGTTTGTGTGTGTATGTGTGTGGAGTTAGGCGTTGAGTTATGCCAGGAATGAGCAGCGCAGCATGCTCCAATTACAGCTGCAACGGCGGCTTCAAATTGTGTAATACAAACGCAGCCCTAGTACAGCAGCATCACTCTGCTGTCTCCCTCTCGCTCTCGCTCCCTCTCTCTCTTTCGCTCTTCGACTGTTGCCGGCTGCTAGTAAATGGGCAGCGGTCAGCAGCTGCCGCCACAAACGTGCTCCAAATGTAAACAAAGCAAATCGTTGGGGCTGCCGTCGCATCTGCCGCAGTTGCCGCAGTTTCTGCTGCTGCTGCAGTTGCAGTTGCACTTGCTGCCGAGTTGCATCTGCGACGTCTGCCAAGTGGCAAAGCCACTTCCGCAATTCAAGCCCCTCGCTCGCACTGCGCTGTGGCTGTAGCTGTAAATCAAAAGAGCTAAAGTGGAAGAGGTAGACGGAAGAAAAAAGAAAAAGAAAGAAAAAAAAAAAAAACCAGAGGCTTGCATCTTGCAAATGATGCTATCAATCAAGTTTTATGCGCGCCGTATCTCTCAGATACAATTGTATCTGCCGCACAGCATAATTGAGTTCTTTTCTGGCTCTGCTCTGCTCTCAAGTGGCTGCTTGTTAGGCACACTTAACGGCCATAGATGCCATAAGGCCATAAAGCCATAAGGCCTAAATAGACAAATGATACGAATCGAGTTTGACCAGAATTTATGTTCATTGTTTGCTGTGCATTAGCAGCAAACACCTTCAATTGCAGATTACTTAACTTGCTATGGGCGAGCTCTTGAATTCCTTCTCTATTTCTTTTTTCCTTTGTAAATATAAAAAAGGAGCAAAAGAACTTCAAATTTTGCTATAGTACGATGTAGCTCATGCTGCTACAATTATTTAGAATCTAGATTTTAGTAAAAAAAAAAAAAAAAAAAAAAAAAAATTATAAAAGTATAAAAGTATAAAAAGTAGAAATTATAAATTTTACAAATAAAATATTTCGCATCTGAGCAACTATGAGAAATTAATAAGAATACATAGTCTTTCAATTATTTTATATATATATAGAATATATACAGTGATATATTTTATTATTTATTTTTTAACAGAAAACAATATAAAAAACAAATTTAATTTATTTTTATTATTTATTTTTTAACAACAAAAAAATTAAGTAGTCTAGTTTCAGGTAGTCGGCGCAAAAAAAAAAAAAAAAAAAAATTAAGCACTTCAATTATTTCTAGATAAATATAATTAGATATTGATTATAGGAATACATAAGATCTACCTCTGTTAGCTACATTTCAATGGGCTGATGCCTGATAGAATAAAGATAGAATGAGATAATATCCCCTATCTACTACTATTACTCAATTCTACTGCTAATCTTGCATATACATTCTTTAATTGTAGTATACTAGTAATATAATAGCTGTATCATATAGAATGAGGTGTGCTGCAGGAGTTGTCGGAAATGGGAAATACCTCGCACAAGGCAAACCAACAGCTTTCATAGTAGGTAGGATGCATATAGGATGAGATGCGATAATATTCCCCATCTACTACTACTCTTCTACTACTTTATTAAATTCTACTGGTATTATTGTTTATATACTATTACAATACTACTATTGTATACACATATCATTTATATACAGTGCATCATCTACCCCTACCAGCAAGAAATATTGATTTATGCATGGCTATCCGTATTTATGGCAAGTCTTATCACACCTACGATGGCTCTGCTAAGGGGCAAGCGTTGGCTCCCCATTTTGCTCGTATCTTAAACTGAAATTTAGTACAAGGCGAGAGCTGTTGACTCCTGCCAGCTGGTGACTTACTATGGATAGCAGCCGAGAACGGATGGACCGACGGACGAATGGACGGACGGACGGATGGCTGGCTGGACGTTGGCGCAGCGTATCATAAACATGAACTTCCGATTGCGACCTCTCAGGTGGCAAGTGCCACGAGCTGTGCCGCAAAAGTCATTAAGCCACATACAAAAAAAAACTCTAAACTTGAGCAGCTGAACGGCAACAACAACAACAACAGCAACAGCTTGGGCTGCAGCTTGAGCTAACAGGTGCCACAGCTCTGGCTCTCGTCTTGCTCATATCCGCTGTCAACTTCTGCTTTTGGCCAGCCTTTAGGGCGGAAGGGCGGGTCAAGCGTAGCCCCAACGTCAACGACGACTGCGACTGCGACGGCGACTGCGACTGCCAGCTGGATTAGCAGCGGCGGCCTTCGCATCATCTGCGTTTATCAGGTAACATTTTTATTTATTTCATACACACACAAAGCACGACTTGAAGCTCCGACACAATAGAATTAGTCGAAATGACGCGATTTATAATTTGCATGCGATTTTTAGTGCTCATATAGTTTTCTTAGATTTCGCTACGCATATAACAAAAGATGCCCAAAGTTCCCAACGATTTCAGCTGAAATGACCTTGAGAGCTGCTTTTTGAGCGCATGCTTTGTAGTGTATATCGCTCTGACATATATTAATTGCCGTACAAGTCTATACGATAATGGATGAAGAGAGGGAGCAAGAGAGATATATAGATAGAGTAGAGATACATATATTAATCAAATATATCTCAGGTGAGCTTTAAATATGATAGAAACTAAATAAATATTTCTTATAAATAACAAAGGAATAATGTGAAACAGAGAGAGGAGAGATGGAGAGAAAGGCACGAGAGGAAAAAAACTGATTGCGAAATAGAAAAAGGGTCTACAGAGTAGAAGAGAGAGGGAAAGAGAGAGAGAGTATGTAGTATAAGAAACAGATAGAAATGATTAAGAGAAACATAGAAAGGGATAGAAATAAAAATATGATATAGTTGATATCGAGAGAGAGAGATAGAGGGCGATGGAAGCAGTGAAAAAGCGTAAAAGGGAAAGTAAGAGAGAGAGAGAGAGAGAGAGAGAGAGCATGCAAAATAAACAGATAGAGAGAGAT